AAGTATTTGTGACTTTTCAAGGTCCAGTTGAGAAACTGCCATTTTCCTGAAGCTTTCCTTATCACCTCTCAAAAGAGGTGAACTCCTGTAAAGCAATTATCCTTCGATAAAAAATAATTAATTAAAAAAAAAGATGTGAACTCCTGATTATGATTCTTCACGGCACTTGACTTATCTCCACCTTAGTTGTGACTGGGATTGTTATACGTGCACCAGCCTCTTTTCCTTTTCCTCATATTCCACCTCATATTCAGTTAGATGCGTCCATATGAGGGGGCTTGGAGCAACAGAAAGTGGGCCAAAGGATATATGCCAATTTGAAGCTTGGTCCCAAAAGACCTGTCACATAATTCTCCATGCCTTTATCATTTTTCATCTGCTAGTATGATTCAGAGGATCTCAGTGGGTATCCAAGATTCTAGAATATGGAAAGTCACTGGGTGAAAGGACCTTTGGTATAAAATGTCTTAATAGAAACTGACAAACACTGGAAAATGATAAGAGTTCAAAATGAGCTTCTATTATATTAAGCCACTGAGATTTCACGGTTACCTTTTACAGAAGTTACCCTATCCCGACCAATTTGCCATTGTGTTATTTTGTTTTAGTCATTTGTGGTATTTGTCATATGTTTTCTGTTTTCCACATCACCTGGAATGATGTATAGTAAAGATTAAGTATGTAGTTCATGATTTAAAAGCATCCTGAGACATTTGAAGCTTATGGGGGCAAGTTCCATAGTCAGTATTAGAAGAGAAGTGCTAGGAGCTAGGAAGAGGTCAGACAAATCCTCTAGGGTGGAGGTGCTGGAAAGTGAGTACCCAGGCGTGACTGACAGCACCCCTAGAACTTAATTCACAGCATCACCACTAGTATGTATAGCTGGATTTTACATCATAGTAGTCAGGAGCCTTCTTGAACGCGAAAGCCTTGCAGGAAACCAAGAGGGCCCAGAATCTGAAGGTTTCCTCTTCTTATCAGGATACAATAGAGAGGAAATCCATGTCAAAAATACATCCCTGTGAACACAACTTTGGAGCCTCAGGTGACCTTTGAGCTTGCAGTCACTGAAGTCCATATTTTATGGCTAAGTCGACACTCAGAGACGACTGTCCCAAAGTTCCTGATCAGATACTGGAACCTTCTCTACTAGAGATAGCTCTATTTATCTAGTTTACCAAATAAAGCAATTTTTAAAGTAACTTTTTCAAACAACAGCTATTAAATTCACCCCCCCCACCTCCATTTCATACCCAAACCAAAATGAAACATATGTTTGATAGAAGAGTATCTTTTGTGTTGGAGAATTTTAAAGAGGAAGACTGCTCGTCCAACCTTGAATTTATAGAATTCTAAAAGACCTGCCCCTCTATTGGCCCAGGTTAATGCTGCTTAAGTACAGCCCCTTGAATACTGAAATGATTTAGGAGAAGAGGTACTTTATGAAATTGTATGCACAAAAACATTCAGTCTGAAACACTGCCAGAATCCACAGGTTCATATATGGCTTCATATATACCCTACTACTGCTCTCACTGAACCAATTTACTCTCTATCTTCACTGTTCCCTGTTCTGATGCTTCCAAACCCTAACACATGCTACTTCACCTTCCATCGCAACTAGGGCATCAATACTTCCCACCTGTAGCCTCCACATTCTACTCACTCCCATCCCACTCTTGCTCTCATTTTCCCAAACCATCATCGACCACCCAACCCCACTTCACAGAATAAAGGAAAGAGGACTAAAACCAAGTGCTCGTGTTTGCTTTGGAGGCTTCTCCAAGAGGCCCATTATTTGATAATTATCTGTTCATGTATCTGCCACCAAAACAGATCCTGAGCTCAGCCACAGGATCAAGACAAAACAGATATGTAATCAGCATGCATTCTTCCAACACGTGTACAGAACACTTAAACATTCTGTCATCTAGTCACTCCAACAACACTTCAAAGGAGGCACTAATATTATCTTCATTTCACAAAACACTTGTTTAAAACCAGTGATAAGAGGCAGTGCCATGATTCTACCCAGATTGGGGCTACCTCAAATGTTGTCAATGGACTCCCTAGTCCATTTGTATCGTTTTCCCCACCTCTTCTTCCTATAAACTATCCCTTTTCTCACTTCTGCAGATACTCTTATTTACTGTCTTCTTTCACTCTCTCAGACTCAGTGGTTAAAACGGAAAATTGGGTTTTTCAATCTGCTGGTATCATTTCTAAAACACTAGTTTGCCATCTTATTTTTGATTCCTGTTATTTGAAGTTTAGCTGTAAAATTAACTATGCTGTTGTCTTTCACTTCTCCCAGCTCAAAGACAATATGATTTTAGCATCTGGTTATGCCTTCTCTCATAGCCTGTACTCAACAATTTAATGATGCCCCAAAATAACACTTCAGGTTCCTCACACTCAGTCTTCAGACTTTTTGCCTTGATAGAAATACATGCCCATTCCTTTTCATCTAGTGAAGAACTTGGTCTCACCTTGGATCACATCAACACAGGGACAATTCCAATTTAGAGATCTCATAACTCCTACTGTCTCTCAAATTACATTGCATGTACCAAAACTGTATCTTCCAACACTACTGTTTAGCTATTTCCTTTTCATACTCTCTTGGCTTCTAAAAGTCGAATGTCTCTTCATTTTCCTCTGTGCCTTCATTTGTCATGGGATTGAGGACTCTGAAACTATAAATCAAGCAATATTAAACACACTGGAGGGGATATACGCAAGGGTTCGAGGTAAATCTAGCCTTAGTGTGAATACTTATTCTCTGAAGCTTTAAGGTGTTCAAGTATTGGTGGTCTCACAACGGCACCCCACTCCAGTCCTCTTGCCTGGAAAATCCCATGGACGGAGGAGCCTGGTAGGCTGCAGTCCATGGGGTCGCGAAGAGTCAGACATGATTGAGCGTCTTCACTTTCGCTTTTCACTTTTATGCATTGGAGAAGGAAATGGCAACCCACTCCAGTGTTCTTGCCTGGAGAATCCCAGGGATGGGGTCGCACAAGAGTCGGACACGACTGAAGTGACTTAGCAGTAGCAGCAGTAACAAGCTAGAAGAGGAGACGCCCTAATCTCTGAATCTATAATAGCGAGGCACCCGTAGGGGGCGCTCCGTCTCACAAAATATAAGTGACAGGAGCTTGCCTAAGGGATGGGATCTCTTGAGGGGTGTGGCCTCACAGGAGAACCTCAGCTCACAGGACCAAGTTTGGGTCAGAAACAGGTCACAAAAACCTATTTAGAGGAGCCGTGGAAGAATGTCTGCTAGGAGCCTACGCCAGCCGGGGTATCCAGAGAGGTGAGCAACAGGCACTGGCCAGTCTGCTTTCTCCGTGGCATGCCCTCAGCTGACTGCACAAGTGGATGGAGTCTGCAGACTTGCCCTGCTAAGGGTTCCTTGTGGCACTCTGGATAGCATTAGACTGAGCTGACTTCTAGCCAAAGCCTGCTGTGTACCCCTTTCTGCTGAGCAAAAGTTACCAAGGTCAGCTACAATCCAGGCCTTAGCGGGACCCAGTGTCAGGCAATTAAAGATGCAGTTTAGTCCAGGAGAGGGGTAATGATGTGATAGGAGTCGGGTTCAGAGCAGAAAAAAGATCGTAGATCATGTCTAGTGGAATCGGCGTATAAAACAGACTTTCACGTGCGGAGGTCCAGACAGCTCCCGTGACCCTCTTATCCCCATAGCAGTGACCGCAATTCCCTCAAGTGAAGATCCTCTCAACTCACACACCAAGTCTGCTTTACTCTTCCCCTCGACCTTTGTCATCAGCTGATGAAAGGCTATTTGTTTTTCCAGCGCTGGATTAGGGAAAAGAAATTACATAAGGGGACAGACATCAAATATATATTTAAAATTCTGCAGCTCTGGGTGATCAGCCACAGTTCAGGGGAAATGAGCAATGTTGCTTCCAGTCTGGGGAAGCCAGGAGTCTCAGATGCGGGGCTCAAAGCGCGCTCCGGACGCCCCCCAAGCCACCCACCCCCGCCCGGGACCGCGGAGCCCGGCCTTAGCCCCGCCTTCTCTCCCGCCCGGGGCTGGCTCCCCGCGGGCCGCGCTCCCGGCTCCTCCGGCTCCAGGCTCCCAGCCTCGAGCGCGGCCAGCGCGCGCGTGCGGGTCTGTGTGTCTGCGCGCGTGTGTGTCCGTGGGTGGGAGATGAATTGGAATCATACGACTGGGTGTTTCCTTCCGAGTGGTTTTGATCAGCCATCCATTAGGAGATCATGGAAACTTTTTTTTTTTTTCTGACTAAAAGGATGAAAACTGAGTAAGTATAGAGAACTTTGAACTTGAAACGGAATGAAACAAATACAAGCCAAACCCTGCGGATGATAACCATGTCCATTCAGACCGTGTATCCCCTTTTTCTGTTAAAAGCCGTGAAGGCTTAGAGGAAAGTGGCCATTTAAAACGGAATGAAGGGAAACAGTTACGAAACATGAAAGACTGAAGGCAGGACTGCTTTAAAACCGGAGGAAAAATGAGGAACTGTTAAGGCGAGTTGGCCTGCGTCCAGCTGTGCAACAGGCACTTTGGTTTAAACCTATTGCGTTCTCCAGGGCTGTTTTTAGCCTCCAGATTTACTTTGGTGTTGTTTCTCTTTTCCTGTGAAGCTTTTACTGTGAGTTTAAGGATGTTGTGAAAAATAAGACATTACCAGAAGCAACAGTTTGGCAGCCTGGGGTACGCTCAGATTATTAGTTACAACTATTATTATTTTGATTTTTTTTTTTTTTTAAAACCCAGGCCGGCCACTTTTTACTGTCCTCCATGGAACGGCTCTTACTAGCCGCCTCAGACTTTGGGGATCTATGATTCTTTGGCAGGACGCTTCGGAAAGTTTCTTAAGTGGAGATGGAGCTGTCTTGATGTGATTTAAAGTTGTGGAAAAAGAAGACAGTTTGGTCTTTTTCATGCTGACAAAAAATAGCTGCTGTGACTTTTCCGGCAACGTGGACAGGGGCCAAGTGAAGCTAAACTGGTCATGGTCTGTCGTCCAGTGTTTTGTCGTCGGCGGTTTTGCCCCCGGCCCTTCTTGGTGGGCCTGGTGGTGGCAATCTGTCTCTCCTACCAGACTCTGACACTCCGGGGGACAAAGAAACTTGCAGCTGCTGGCCCCGGAGCTACCCCAAACACACGCACCAAAACCCAAGCAAGCAGATGCACCAAAGGATTCTTCCCGGACAAGCAGTGCTTCCTTCTCTCTGACAATGGACAGGAAATCGGAAAGGTAAGGCTGGACACAAGCTTAACCTTGACATTTTCAGTGAAGATAGCAGCCTGCTTCTCTCTGTCCCTTCTGTAAGACTAAAATTAACTTCCATGAAGTCTGAAAAGGATCCAGAGTATACGCAGCTGAGAGAGTGACCTTATGACGGTGAGACACATGCTAGCTTCAACTTCTTTTTACTTCCGGAGAGTCCTGGTCATTATTTTCTCTCTCAGAATTTCACTTCTTTTCAGCTAAATGAAATAGACCGTTTGGAGGGGATGGGAGTGATGGGAATTCTTTCTAAAAATTGGAGTTCTAAGAGATCTGAAGATTTACAGTTCAGGAACATAAATCAAAGATTCATAAAACTTGGCAAACATTGACTGTCTCTTTTCTCAAGGCAGTCTGTATGAATGGCCGGACCATTCTAGACTCCAAGTTACTCCAGAATTACATTTTCTAATTGGTTATGTCTATTAATCATTGCTGAGCATATTTCTATAGCAATATATTTATTTCTGAAGCATTTAAAAATAGTCTAATAGGTTTCTTCAAAAGAATTGACACAGTGCATTTTATTGCTTATAGAATTAGGAAAATACAGATTATTTTATATTTATACTATCCTAATTAACTTTACTAATCTTACTTGTCGAGTGTTGGATAAAATACAAGGCACAAGGAAATACACAGAGCTTTTCTTTTAATATACCACTCTGTTTGTGCCTGTTAGGGAAATGAAGACCTGTAAAACAAACCTGCCTAAAACAGAAAAACACAGGCACAAATATTCATGATAACAAAATCACTGATTTCTATGCTACAGCAGGTAGTGTAGCAAGATAATTTAGGAATCTGTAAGAGCTAGCTTACATTTGTAGAGTTAGGTAGATTCTATGATCATGGTTATTGTTTGGAGCAGAATCTCTTGTCAAATATCAACTTACTGCTACCATCATTGCTACCACCATACCATCTTGATTTAAAACCTTTCACATTAAAAAGAATTTTGAAAATTAAAAAGAGAAAATATTGTTGACAAAAAATTAAAAAAAAAACTTTCACATATTTCAGATGTATAACCGTTTAAGATTGGTAATGTAGGTATGATGACACTCAAGGCAGTATTTAGGCAAGTATTATGACATGGTACATTCATCTAGTCCCTATTGCAGGACTGATTCTCTAAATAAAAGTAAATTCAAAGCTCAAATAACAATTTGTGAAACCACAAGTGAAAGAACTAAATGAAACACAAGATAATATCAGATTTGAAAAAAGAAAATTTGAAAACTTTTGAGTGACTTTATTTTATCATCAATGTCAAGAAATAGCTTGACCAAGATATATGACCAAAAAAGCAAATAATAAAACTAGGAACACATCTAGCTGAAACTTCAATGGCAAGTGTGAATCAAATATTAAATTCGCTAAAGTAATTGAAGAATTTGTGTTTTTTATTAATTTATATCATCATTAACATAACACATCAAATTCATGATGGGTATAAACTTTGACTTTGAAAGTCACTTCTTGTTTGTTTCCAATGAGTGTAATTTCTTTAAAAATACTTGAGATGGTTTTGCTCTTTAAGTACTTAAATTTTTGGCTAAGAATTTGGAAAAAATGTTTTTTATTCATTAACTTACAGCCTTTCTTACTCACTACTTGACTTTACAATGGACTCCTGCTGTTGCCTGTAACTTAGGCATATGTTAACTGTTATTTGTAAGCTGTCACAGAAAATTCCATTTTAGCTTTGGACCTTCTGCCACTTATAAACCATCTGAAACTTACTGGCTGCTGGTGTAAAACATTCAGTCTAGAATGTTCTTCACTAAAAATGCCTAACACATGATGCTTTTTTTTCCACAGTCTTAAATATTTTAACTGTAAGCAAGATTCTGAAATCACAGTTACAGTTCAGAAGCTCAATAGATATGAAAACTGAATTTCCAAACATTCGCTGTGTACCTCTATTTTCAACTTTACTTGGGCCAGCCATTGGTTTAGAGCCAGAAAGTATCGTATGGAGGTTAGTTGAATATAAATGAGTTCTCCTTGCAATGTATGTTCCAGAAAAGAATCAAATAATAATCCCTTTTTGAAGATTAAATATTCTATCATATAGCTAAAATGAAGAAAGAAATGTCTTTGGAGTCTATATGTAGATCCTTCTCCAAAACAGCTACTTAAGAAGCTCATTAAAAAGATAACTGATGAAATGCTACCTAGATTTTCCCCCAAGACCTAAAATATAGCTTTTTAGGCATTAATAGAAGAAGCATTGTTTCTAGCTATAAATTTTGAGGTTTGTTATTTTATTGTCAAACCAAAATATTCATGTTACCAGGGCTTTCCTTTACTTGACTCCATCCATCTTTAGGTGATTATTAAAGTTACCTAAAACATCTGGTTTTGACCTAAGGTTCACAGATTCCAGAAAGTATTTGAAAGTATAAGATGTCTGCCAAACCCAAGCATTTTATGCAAAGAATTGTGTGTACATGCATGTGTGGTTGTCTTATGTGGGAGAAACTATGATCCTCTTCAGATGTTCAGACCTAAAGAAATACTGGGAATTAAGAAATGCTTAAGAAGCAGCACATTTAAACTTTAAAGTGCATTTAAACTGCCCCTTCAGGAAGTGTAAGTTGGGTTTGAGTTTATAAATCTGAAAAAGGGAAAAAAAATCTGAAAGGATCCACTTGAGAACATTTGCAAAAAGTGTTTCAATGAATGCTGTAGTGTCTGCAGGCATAAGCAGTCTAAAACCAAAGTATACTCACAGAGTACTTCTCGAATCATAGTTTTCATACTTTCATGAATAAGCAATAAGTATTTCCCAGTCCAATTGTTTGTAGTTGTATCTGAGAGAGAAACTTTTGTGCTTTATCTGCCAAGTAATAGAAGGTTCTGTAGTAGCAAATATTTAAAGGTGAGTGACTGTGCTCTTTACACCTTTCTAACTGGGATCTGGTTCAGTGTCTAAAACTGTTTTCAGTACAGATTGAGATCATGGTATATAGAATATGCCAACTTTCCATAGTGAGGAAATGCTCTTCTGGCCAAATTTTAATTCTTTTTTCCATTTAAGCTTCCAAAGAGCCTTGCTAAGCAGATGTACTTGTGTTATTTCTTCTGGGTTTTCTCTCAACATTCATTGCTTGTGCTATTTCTTAAAATTATTTCAATGTAATGTATAAACTGAAGACAGTTTCAGTTATCTCCACTAAAATAGGTCACTCAATGGATTTGTTTATTTTCCTAGAATCTAATACTTCAATATCTCATAACATAGGGAGCACATTAAGTTATAAACAGACACAATGGAAGAAAATCTCCTTGGTATCTGCTCCTTTAATGGAAACTTAGCTCTTTGGGGAATATATTTGTCTTCACCATGGCCATGTGTTTCTTATTATCTCTTGTTGATGCTACACAAGGAGACTGACTATTTCTCTGTTGTCTGATTCTTTGTTCTCCATTTCTTCTTTATTCTTTCTGTGGCGACTGTTCCCTACAAGTACTGTCCCAGTGTCCAACCATAAACCAATGTAAATGAATATTTTCACTGTAAATACTTTTTTGTTTAATCTGCTTGTGTTCTTCATAATACATAATATACTTAACGTCTGAAAATTTCTAAAAATTTCTTGTATAGCCCAGAAACAGAGCCCATGGCAAACACTTAGATGCTAACATTTTATCGGTTGGTACAATCCCAGGGACACTAGAGACGGGGAAATAAAGGAAGAAGGAGAGCAAACACAAATGGGTGAATTATTGGGAGATTTCCAGAGAGGCCATTTTAAACTATTACATCCCAGAACAGGCACTGGGGGGAAAGGAAAGGAAGGACAAGCAATTTATCTGTCTCTCTAGTTTTCTTTCTTCTGTCTTTCATTTGTTAGAATTGGTCCCATGCTACTTCTAAGTAGTGTTGCCTTGACTTCCTAGGTGGCCATGGGTTGGGTGGGTGGTCAGGGTTTCAGTGGGTGCAGTGCCACCAGGGAAAAATTGGAGTGGTCCCCTCCCTTTCAATCTGTACTGTGCATAGACGTTTACAGGTCTGTGATGGCCACAGTGGTGAAGTGTCCCACAGCTTTATGATCACAACAATGGCATGCGAAATGGCCACTGGAAGGGTACGTGAGGCAGGGTGATCTAGTGTCTGATCTGATATTTGTGCTAATTTTGCTTTTTGAAATCTACACAAAATTTCTAAATATGTACCCACTCTTGGGAAATGACATCTCTTTCTTTAAATGAGATGTTTGTAACTATTTCACTAAGAACTCTCCTCTCCCACTGGGGGGAAAGAAACCTTTCTCTTTCTCTTTACCTTTTCTCCTTCTCATCCCTTTCATTCGTTCATTCACTTATTCATTCATTTAGTAAATATTTGTCGACACTGTGCCAGACACTGTGCCAGGTACTGGTGATACAGAAATATTGGGTTGATCAATAAGTTCATTTGGGTCTTCCCATAAGATGTAATGGAAAAACCCAAATGAACTTTTTAGCCAACCCAATAAAAGGCACTGTGAGACAGACAAGTAAATAAATAGAATGTAAGGAAACCCACAACTTCAAGACAATATTTTGAAAGATGAGAGGGAACTATAAAGGGTAGAGAAAGAAAAGAGAAAACACTGCATGTGCAAAGAAGAAATTAGCCTCTGTGTGTGTGTGTGTGTGTGTGTGTGTGTGTGTGTGTGTGTGATGTGTTAAGGGAAGCAGAGCAAGAAGGCAAATTGATGAGGTAGAGAGTTCAGCAGGGTCTAGATGCCTAGATGTTGGAAATGAGAGTATGATACGGAAGCTAGATTCTCTCTGGAAGGTAACAGGGAACCCCCAAAGAATGAAAAGCAAAATGTGGCATGATTAGATTTATGTTTAGAGAGATTACTCCAGAATGCACACTGCAGAATGGACTGGAGGGACTGAACTGAAGGCACGCAGACCAATTGGGACGCCGCCTCAGAGATGAGAGTCGTGCAGTTGCAAGCCAAGGC